TACAGAGTGAAGTAAGTCAGAAATAGAAAAACAAATACTGTATGCTAACACATATATATGAAATAAAAAAAAAAAAAAAAAAAAAAAGGTAAAGACTTCACGGTAGGCTTTTAAGAAATTTCTACTATGATATTTTACATAACTTTATTTTAGCTGTGGGATTTGAACTGGAATGCACCCTGCCTCTCAAATCAGACTGCCAAGTTTCCTGGGTGGGACCACGTCACACCCTTCTGTAGTGTCCACCGCGGGGCTGAGAGCATGCTCTACACTGCGGAAACTGACCATACCCTACTATGATATTTTACATAACTTTATTTTAGCTGTGGGATTTGAACTGGAATGCACCCTGCCTCTCAAATCAGACTGCCAAGTTTCCTGGGTGGGACCACGTCACACCCTTCTGTAGTGTCCACCGCGGGGCTGAGAGCATGCTCTACACTGCGGAAACTGACCATACCCTTGGTGGAGGCCTGAAAAACAGAGCTCTTTGCAAGTCTTTTACACCTTCCATAAAATATGACTCAAGTGTACAGAGCAACTGGTACCCGCCGTGCAGACATGATGTGTAACAGAATCCAACATCCTGCCATTAAGTAGAACATCACAGCTATCAGCCCATCACACGATGAGAAAGCAGTTTGAAGCTGGTATGAAGGCATGTAAAACTCCAGTGGGTGTACTGCTGTCCAGATGCGAGTGACCTAGCCCTTCTCCTCCGGCTATAATGAAAGGGGCACCCCCAAAATGGAACGATATAATCTCCAGCCTCAAGGCACATACGATGGGCCTGAACGGGAAGGGTGCGTAAAGGGAAGGGTGTTATCCTAGCAAGGGTGCGTAAAGGGAAGTGTGTTATCCTAGCAAGGGGGCAGACTAGGCCACCATTCCACTGTCCCCACCCTATGTCAGGGATGACAGACCAGATATAAGCCCCCAAGAGCAGGGGTTCCCAATATCTAATGATAAGGAGTTCTTGTTCCTCGTGATCTAGAATGGAGGATGAGAGCAAGATGCTGTTGGCAGCCGGTGGTGGGCAGGGGCTCCCAGTCCCTTTAATGACAGGCCAGACTCTGCAGGCTTCAGCTACATCCACCGCATTCCCCTTCCCTAATGGAAATGCCTGCAGGATGTAAGGGGGGAGAACCAGAACGAAAGCGTCCAAGGAAGGCGTCCCAGGTAGAGAGGTCTCTTAGCCTGGAGAGGAACATGGTGGCACAGGAAAACTGGGTTCAAGTATTTGCACACAGTGCAAAGCAGGAATAAACTTGATGTGCTTCTGGAGGTAGAACCAGGACAAATGGGAGGAAGGAACAAGAAGGCTAACTTCAGGAGAACTTTCTGAACTACAGTCGTGAACAATTACGTCATACCACAACAATGTTTGTTGCAACGGCTGCTGGGACATGTATCGGGATGATTGTAAAAGAGACTGCCATCCAGGGTGGGCAGTAGGAAACTGAGTTTCCATGATTAGATGATTCGCTGGGAAAACATATGCCTTCCTCAGACCCCAAAGAATGGCTTAAGTGGGCAGACACCTGCGAGCAAGGGTGGGGGAAGGCAGCCATCACCTCTCGGCACCCTGGATTTTGGGGAATTTTCTTTGTTTGGGTTTTTTTTTTTTTTTTTTTTTTTTGGCTGCACCATGCAGCTTGCAGCATCTTAGTTCCCTGACCAGGGATTGAACCCATGTCCTTAGCAGTGAAAGTGCAGCATCCTACCACTGGACCACTGGGCCCAGGGTACCCTGGTTTGATGACTTGAATCTCTGCCTTAATTTCCCATCCCCACAGTCCTGTACCCCTCAACTGCCTGCTCAGCTCTGCAGAACCCTGTTCCTGACTGGAAGGAATCTGCAAACTCTAGGTCAAAGCCTTTCAAACTTGAATGTAAATGTGAATCACCCAGATCTTGTTAAAATTTGGATTATGATTCAGGGGAAGTGGGGGAACAGTTTTGGAGCCTGCATTTTTTTAAAGTTAACTAATTAATTAATTAATTGTATTTTTGGCCGCATTGGGTCTTCGTTGCTGCACGCGGGCTTTCTCTAGTTGTGGCGAGCAGGGGCTACTCTTCCTTGCGGTGCACGGGTTTCTCATTGCCATGGCTTCTCTTGTTGCGGAGCACGGGCTCGAGGCGTGCGGGCTCAGTAGTTGTGGCTCGCAGGCTTAGTTGCTCTAGAGCACAGGCTCAGTAGTTGTGGTGCACAGGCTTAGTTGCTCTGCAGCACGTGGGATCTTCCCAGATCAGGGATCAAACCCGTGCCCCCTGCATTGGCAGGCGGGTTCTTAACCACTGTGCCACCAGGGAAGTCCCAGAGCCTGCATTTTGAACATCTCCCAGATGACACTGACATTGCTGGTCTGCGGACCTGACTTTGACCAGCAAGGCTTTAGGGTCTACATCAGCCATATTCACTAGAACCTTCTTTGACAATGGAAATTTCTCTGTGTTGTCCTATACGGTAGCCACGAGCCACATGTGGCTCTAGAGCACTTAAAGTGTGACTAGTGTGACAACAACTGATTCTTAATTTTATTTAAGTTTAATTAATTTAAGTTTAAAATTAAATAGCCCCAGAGACATTGCTTTGGGAAAGATCCCCAGTGTTGTTCTTCCTTGCTGCAAGTAATAAATCCTTCCTTCTCTGGGAAAAAAAAAAAAATTAAATAGCCACATATGGCTAGTGGTTGTCATACCGGACAGAACGAGGTCATTAAGTCAGTGTCTGAGCATCTGCACAGCCTCTCATGGTTCACGGGGGCATTCCTCTGGCTTTGCCCTCACTGTACTCCAGTTCTGAATGGGTGGGTGAATGAATGAATGAATGAATGAATGGTAGAGCCTTCAATTATGCATTCTCCCAGAAGACTTGAATGTATACCTCAGTTTCAGTTACCAGGTCTTGGCTTTTGTCTTGTGCCTACATGTTTGCCTTGCTCTCGGCTTTCTAGAGCTATGGCTTGCCCTTGTCCTGGGCAATTCCCTCAGGTCATGGACTCCTGCCCCAAAAGGCCAGCTTTCACAGCTACTAAGCTCGGCTATCTGCTGGTAAACATCTTGAGGGTCTGGATCTGCAGCCCCTGACTGATGCAAAGCCCATGACTGCTACCCGGCTCTGCCCTCCAGTCACTCCTGCTGTAACTCCATCCGGCACCATTGCTGCCCACCGTCCTCTCCTGGTCCACCATCCATGTAGGTACAAGTCCTGGTTAAGCACCTGAACTGCCATACATCAATTCTACCTTCCAGAGGGTACACTGTCAAACATATGCATCTACCCTTTGTTGGCCAAAGTTTCTATTTCTCCCAGTTCCTACCAGAGAGGTTCCTAACCCGGAAATCTCAGTTGCCCAATTCTTTTTTTTTTTTTTTTAACATCTTCATTGGAGTATAATTGCTGTACAATGGTGTGTTAGTTTTTGCTTTATAACAAAGTGAATCAGCTATACATATATGCCCAACTCTTATTAAAAATTCAGTTGCAAGAAATAAAACATGTAGGGCTCTGTCTGAAAGCTATTCAGTCCACTCTTTTCTCTAAATATTCTAACCTGTACACTGGATCAAACCAGGTCATCAAACAGCTGTAAACTTGGACCATAATACATAATACATTGAACTATGAAAGAAACCAGGCTGCAACTTATGTTTGTGTTTCAGGTCTCCCAGTACCACCATTTTTATTTTACTTGGATGACCAACAAGGAAAACACCAAACCCAGGGCCTGTTTTTCCTTCTTTCCTTTCTTTTTTTTTTTTTTTTTTTTTTCCTTTTATAACAGAAGTGCCCACTCAATTTATATAATGATGGGTCTAACTAATATGAGACAGTAAGAGTTTATTCACATCCTCAAAGAACACATTCCATTTCTTACAACAGACAAGTGCCACAGATTCAATGACTATAACATTTTTTGCGTTCATAGGTAGGAAGTTACATTCTCGAACTGTGCATTTAACACAGACTGAATATCCCAGGGAGAACTTCATATTAAAGAAGTTTTATCAGGAAGTTTCTTGATGTTTTACTAGGGGACATGAGTGACAGAACCTGTGTAAATTTAAATATGATCTTTTACCCCTTAAAGTTCCTTTTGGTCTCTGGGATCATGATGTCACTAGAATACAAATATCTTCTAACCCTTCTCCCCTATCTTACTGAAAATTGCAAGTATTTGACATAAGAACCATCGAGACCTATAGTTTACTATTTTAATTTCGTTTCGTTTCGTCTCATTTTATTTAATTATTTTATTTAATAACCAAGGCTAAAGAATTTGAGTTTATAATTTCTATTTCCACAGGCACCTCACAGAATCACTTTTATGGAACTGTACTTTGACATCATCCTCGGCTTAAATATAAGAAGAGCCCGTACAAAGCTAAATATCACAGGGGTTTTCATGCCGAGGTGCTTGATAGGTCACCGCAGGAGGGGAAAGCAAAGAGCTCTGAGCCCCGTCCTCTTTGCACAGGGCAGCTCTGCTTCACCCTAGTTCGCTCATTTAGGTTCTGTGAAAGATTGTTTGATAGCAGGTATCTGCCACTAAGACCACTGGGAAACTGCCATGTACTGCATGGATGGCGGGACCAAGGTTGAGGACCTCACTCACCACAGCACACAAGGTCCCCTCTGTGTGGCCCCATAGGAGACCTTTTTCTCAGGCCTCACTAACAGAAAAAAAGCCATGCTTCTCCTAAATAACTGGAATGGTCTTTTCGTGGAGGCACAGGGGACCATATAACATAGTGTTTCTTTGCTTGCTTTGGCAGCTAGGGAGCACAGAGCCAAATGTGTAGCCCACCCACTTCTAACCCTAGAGAATCTGACGCTGGCATTTCCTCGTCCCAACTTTGGCTTCATTTTCATCTCTTGCTTTTCTTTTCTCTTTCTCATCCCTCTGATTTCATTGCCTACTTAAGCTCACTGCCTCCCTCTCTCTCTCTCTAATCCTATGAATCAAAGGAAAGAAAGGATACTAGACAGAAGCTCTGCTTATCTAAACTTCTCTCCTGAGTGGCATGGACATATATACACTACCAAACGTAAAATAGACAGCTAGTGGGAAGCAGCCGCATAGCACAGGGAGATCAGCTCGGTGCTGTATGACCACCTAGAGGGGTGGGATAGGGAGGGTGGGAGGGAGACGCAAGAGGGAGGAGATAGGGGATGTATGTATATGTACAGCTGATTCACTGTTATAAAGCAAAAACTAGCACACCACTGTAAAGCAATTATACTAAATAAAGATATTTTTTAAAATTAAATTAAATTAAATTAAAAAAAATAAACTTCTCTCCCTTTACTATGTCCCTGTGCGGGCAAGTCTAGAATCTTCTAGTCCATCTGAATCCAGACTCTGACTGCATCCTAGTAACCATCTATATCAGTCTTCTGATTTCTCAGTCCTGCCTCCTCTTCTGGCTGAGAGCAGTAGTCTCTGTACATTTATGTACTAATACATAGAAAGCTATCTCAAGGTTCCAGCCCAGTCCCCGATAGCGAGGAAAGAAGGATATTTGGCTGGCTCGTGGATCAAGGAGTTCCTTAAAAATAATTATAATTTTTTATGATGCAATCGGAGTCCACGCTCGCTGGGTATAATGTAAAAAAGCACAAGTTCCTCTATCATGTCCATGCTCCACGGGTAACCACACAGGTGTCAGACACTGTGCTACTAGCTTCTTCTGAAGTTGGCAAGTTTATACAAGAGCTTCCACAAGGAGGAATGGTACTCACCTTCTCTCCATATTGAACCCATTTGTCATATCCATTTCTCCAGTACCAAATCCATTTTGTGGTGAAGAGAGAACTGGACATTGTGACAGATGAAGGCGTGGAGAGACGTCGGATGGGATTATAATCACAAGTCATCTTCTGGAAACTGATTTTATAATTTCCAATAGAAACGCTGAGAGGGAAAAGTTTAGTGTTAACAAAATGCTTCACTGAAACAAAATGCTTCCGTTTTCTACACTCCGGTCTTCCCTAATAAGAGGATAGAATTCAACCTTGAGAGCTGAAAGGGATCTTTGAATTTCCCTTATACAGCTTTCGGTCTTACACATAAAAGAAAAAACTGAACTACAGAGAGGTAATGTAACCTGCCTGCCCCACATATTCAACGGTGTCACAAAATGTGTTCTTCCCTCAAAAACTATCCCCCATAGACAACTGTGCCCACACAAAACAATGGATTGGCTCAATGTTTGTTAGAAAGTCAGTTAGACACTCACAGTTGGTCAGTTTTTTTCAATTATTATTCAAATAGTTATCAAAGTGTGGTCCAAGACCTTTTCGGGAGCCAGCAAGGTCCAAGTTATTTTCATAATAATATTAAGACATCACCTGTCTTTTTCACCTTCATACCCTCACAGGTGCACAATGGAGTTTTCCAGAGGCTACATGATGTTTGATTTCACAATAAAGAGATTTTCAAAAATATATAACAATTTCAGTCTTCTCAGTGAATTTGGTTTTGTTTTGGAAAAGTTATTTTTATAGTTTTACTTATATACAGTTATATATGCATATAACTATATATAATTTAGATATATAATTATCTAAAAATGTTATGTTAACATGAATGAGTTTATTGTTATTTTTAATGTATCAGTAAATATTTAATTTTTCTCAGCTGTGATTTTTAATATGGTAAATATCAATAGCTATAATCCACATAAACAGAAGTTCTTTGGGATCCTCAATACATTTTAAGACTATATAGGGCTCCTGAGATCAAAAAGTTTAAGAGTTACTGCTCTATGAAACACCTCCTAGATCAGTGATGTTCAACCAGGAGCGATTTTGTGACCCAGGGAACATTTGACAATGTCGAAAAACATTTTTGTTTATCACAACTGGCATGCAGTGGGTGGAAGCCAGGAATGATGCTAAACTGCCCCCCCAGAACAAATAATTATCTGGTCCCAAGTCAATAGCGCTAAGGTTGAAAAACACTGCTTCAGATTTACCTGGGGGGAGAAATACACCTAGAAGCAAAACAGCTGACGCTCCCCTCTAGTGGCAAAAGGCAGCAACACAGAATCTCCACCAAAAATTCACTAAATTTGCAGACGGCAACACATCCATATTTTTCCCCCCAAAGAATTTCCTTGTAAAACAGGATGCAGCTTATAAATATGGTCATGGGTGGTATCACCCATATCAGCCCTAATAGAAGCAGAAATGTAAGGTAGCCTCTTAGAAACCTCCAGGGTAGAGAAAATAGTGAACATAGAGGAAGGTATAAAATGCTAAAGTATACAACAAAATCCTGCCCTAAACTATATGAAATGATTCAAATCATTTTCTCAAACTATGAAATTAAGTCAAAGCTCTTCTGAGCTCATCATTTAGTACTTGTAATAGTCCTACGATGAGCTGATAGGAATACAAACCAACCTATGCATTGTGTTGTTCTGCAGTACACACTGACAAATATTAACTAAACACATATTTGTGTCCCTGTATATTTCACCTGAGTTAGCAAATACTCCCAGAGTCCCTTGTATTAGCCAGGCTCTGAGTGACTTCAAACCTGCCCCACTTATGTATTTTTCTTCATTAATTCAGCAGGCATTTGCCATTTTTATCTCAAGAGTTAACCTGAATGGGATTCTGAAGGAAAACTGCTTTTTCTCCTTCCCATAAGCATAGCACTGGGCTTTCTTTTGATGATGTTGTACACCTCACAAGCCGGACCAGCCACCAACTTACGTGCAGATTTTGGGGTCACAAAAGGCCTTCTCAATATCCTCCATGAGTGGGAGGTCCATCCAGGTGTTTGCAAGTAACATCTGCCACCGGTAGGGCAGGTGGAAGTGAACTTTGTTGCACCTCTCTAAAAAGACAGAAAAGAAGTCTGAGCAATTCGGCCAAGTTCACTGCTGACTCTCCCCATCCTTTCACGGCCCGCCTTTCCCATCCTGCCTGCCCTGCAGGCACATTTCCCAGCTACACCTGTGCTCATGCTGGCCTCTACCTGCATTGCCCCAAACTCCAGATTCCATTATTACCCATGGAGACTCATCAGAAAACAAAATTCTCTGCTCCCCGAAAAGCCATGTTACCCACATGGAAATCTGAGATCATTATAAATTTACAGTTACCCTTTCTGCACCCCACACATGGATTTACTGAGACAAACTGCTCTCCAGCATAGGCAACTGCTTTTGTGTTTCCTTGAAGCCCTGACCTAAAATTCACCTCTTTCAGAAGAATTCCCTCACTAATCTCGCGCTCTTCTGAACTGACTTGTGTTTTGTATTCCCTCAAATACATTCCCTCCGAGCCAGTGCTCGGGACTCAGTTTGTGCTTTATTTATGTATTTACTCATTTTACGCAGTTTTCTAATTTGTGGATGTTTTGTTTGTTTGTTTTTATTTGTTTGTTTGTGTTTGGCCGCACCGTGCAGCTTGTGGGATCTCAGTTCCCCGACCAGGGATGGAATCCGGGCCCACGGCAGTGAGAGCATGGAGTCCTAACCACTGGACCGCCAGGGAGCTCCCAAATTTGTGGATGTTTTGATGTCCCACCTTAACAAACTCATTGAAAAAAGGCCTGCGTCATTGTTTAGCTTACTTCTCCCTTGCTTCACTGGCAGAGGGCTGGGCATGAAAAAGATGACCATTCAATGAATGCTTGCTGAAGAATGAATTAATGTTAGAAGTCCATAATACAGGAGTACAGAAAACAGTTCTATTTTTTCACAATTTGCATTATGTTTCAACCGTTTTGAAATGTCTAAAAGGTGTGTTACTACTTTAGAATAAAAAGAGGCAGGCTTAGACATCACAAGGAAATCCAGACTGGCACTGCCTGGGATTTGGCTGATTCAAAAAGTATAACCTTCCTCACACCCATGAGAATGGCTGCTATAAACAAACAAACAAAAACAAATTAACAAGTGTTGGCAAGGATGTGGAGAAATTGGAACCCTCGTGCATTGCCGGTGAAAATATAAAATGATACAGCTGCTATGGAAAACTATGTGGCAGTTCCTCAAAAACTTAAACATAGATTTACCATATAATCCAGCAACTCCATTTGTGGGTATATACCCAAAAGAACTGAAAGCAAATCTCAAACAGATATTTGTACACCTGCGTTCATAGCAGCATTATACACAACAGCCAAAGGTGGAAGCAACTCAAGTGCCCATCAATGGATGAATGGATAAACAAAATGTGATAGAATACAATGGAATAGTATTCAGCCTTAAAAAGGAAATTCTCACAACGGCTACAACATGGATAAACCTTGAGGACACTGTACTAAGTGAAATAAGCCAGTGTCCGAAAAAGACAAAAACTGTGTGAGTTCATTCATATGCGGGTCGTAGAGAAGTCATACTTAGAGACAGAAACCAAAATGGCGGCTGCCAGGGGCTTCCCTGCCAGAAGCGGGAAAGGAAGAGTTGTCGTCTAATGGGTACAGAGTCTCAGTTTTACAAGATAAAAAGAATTCTTGAGATTGGTTGTGTAGCAATACGAATGTAATGAACCCTACTGAACTGTACAGTTAAAAATATTTAAGATGGTAAAATCTGTTATGTGTATTTTACCATAATTAAAAAGAAAATATTTTAAAGTTAAAGATTTTTGATTTAGGGAACGCAGGGCAGAATCTCCTCTTCAGACACAAGGTGAATGCGTCTAAGACCACTAAGTAATCAAGCAAATGAATCAGACATGATGCCTAGGGCTGGGGTGGAGGCATGAAAGGGAAAG